CCTTTCTTTTTGTCTTGCCTTAGAGGTCAGATGTAGATTTCTCATGACCTGGAACTGGATCAGTCTCACCTTTTCGATGATCCCACCGTGACCTCTTGCAGAAACACCTCCATGTTAAGCGGCTGCCCACAGGAAGTGAGTCCTTTGGGGAGGAAATGGCTCCCAGATGTTGTGGAGGTGACCCAGAGCTCTGGAGAGGGAGGTGAGCGAAGGTCAGTCTTGAGGGAGGACAAGAAAAACGGACAGCAGTGTGTCACAACCCACCTTCATTGCGCAAGAAAAACGTCATTTCGATCGAAAACATAAAGGTCCAATTCATCTGCTTATACTCTGCTTACGGAAACAGAAATCAGATGCATTTTTATGCATTTCTGATGGTGCTGGTCCACACTAGTCATTTTTTTACAAAGGCTCTTTAATTAAAACTTCAGTTGTAGCTAAACGGGACACAACGATATTATGTTTCGGTAGCACTTTAGTACCAATTCTCACATTAACTAGTTGCTTATTAGCATGCATAGAACTAGCATATTAGCTGTTTATTAGCACGTATGAAGCACATATTCTGACCATTTTTTAGATCCCTGAATCCACCCAATATCTAAACTTAATAACTGCCTTACTAACTATTAATAAGCAGCAAAAGGGAAAAGCTGTAGTTACCGTAATAGTGAGAATTAGTCCCCAAACTAAAGCGTGACCGATGTTTCTTTTCAGTCAAATCTCTGGAAACATATTTGGATATCTTGGACACCTTCCAAGGTATCTTCAAAAACATGTCTAGTTTTGATTCGCGACTCGCAGCTAGATCACTGCTCGAAAATGAAAAAAAGATGATGAAGCCAAAGGCTCTACAATGATATTTTTGAAGCCGTTGCAAGTGTTTGGCACCATCATCTGATCCCATTATGTTCTAATACCAGCGTTAATTTATAGAGGCTTAACAAGGACGTTTGTTATGTCTGCATTGTCATTGTAGTAGCAACAAACTCACAAACACAGATTGCAGTGGTCTTTCAATTATGATACGGCTTTTTCCACACGCTAGCAACAGTGAGGTCATCGCAGCCGTATCAAGCAAGTCTCGCAGATGTCCACCTTCAGATATGGAAAGACTCATCCCAGTTCGTGCATCGAATCGTTCGTGTACCAGATCGTCTGACGGTCGTTTCAAAGCCCAGAATGTTTTACCGTGTTGACAGACGTTGTTTAGCAAGGCACGAGCATTTTCGTCCCCCGGTTCGGCGGTGAGGTGGCAACACGAGGGGATCGAGTCTGCACTGTCATTGTAGTAGCAACAAACTCACAAACACAGATTGCAGTGGTCTTTCAATTATGATACGGCTTTTTCCACACGCTAGCAACAGTGAGGTCATCGCAGCCGTATCAAGCAAGTCTCGCAGATGTCCACCTTCAGATATGGAAAGACTCATCCCAGTTCGTGCATCGAATCGTTCGTGTACCAGATCGTCTGACGGTCGTTTCAAAGCCCAGAATGTTTTACCGTGTTGACAGACGTTGTTTAGCAAGGCACGAGCATTTTCGTCCCCCGGTTCGGCGGTGAGGTGGCAACACGAGGGGATCGAGATGAGGAAAGAGAAGAGCGAGGGGTCTCGAGTGTTAGTGAAACATTATGTCACGGCCTTGACGAGGAAATGAAATGCGCAGCATCAATCAGGCAGTGGGCCAAGATCAAAGCCAGCCACACACTCTCCCATATGGTTCTGTTTGACCAGTGCTTTGCTTTTTTTCTCGTCTCTGTCGTTTTTTCTTCTTTTCTGAGAGCGGGCCTTTTGTTTTTTTCCCCCGTCAGAAATTCCTCCACGTTACTGAGGCAACAACGTGGTAGCACGCAAGGTGAGAGGTCTAAGAAAACCAAACCTGCCACAGATTCTCTGGTTCACACTCGTCTTGCCAACATTTCTTCCTTTTTCCTGCGGAGACATAAGTTTATATTGTGTCAGTGTATAACATTACAAATATTTTGGCCCATACAATACAATGCAATACAATACAAAGTTTATTTATATAGCACATTTAAAAACAACCAAAGATGACCAAAGTGCTGCACAGAGTATAAGAAATAACACAGCAATAACACAAAGAAACAGGAAACAGTAATCACCAGCTGTAACATTGGGTAAGGTTTTAGATATTGTGCCTGTATTGTGCCACGTACACATGCTACCATTCCTCAGTCTGCCCTGGTCTTCATATTCAGGCCAGAGATTTGCTCAGACTCAAGAGTCTTGTGGATCCCAGTACCACATTCACCAGGGGATCCTGTGTCACTATCGCTGACCCAATTCTAATCCACTCCTGTCCAAAACTCCCGCAGCGCACCATTGTTTATATTAGCCGTCGTATAATTTCTCCATAACTCTGGTACCCCTAAGCTGTTTATTTCCTGTCAGAGAGTTTCGGTGACATTGTGGTGTATAAACGTCTTGATCAGACGCAGGTGTGCGGTGTGGGAAGGACATGTGATCGGATTTGCTCCGGAGGCTGATTTTGACAGGGACCACCATGGTGCAAATCTAAACAAGCTAAAATGCCAGTGAAAGTGCCTCCAACTCTTTGTGACAAAATGGAGCAGTGTGGAATGGGTCACTGTACATGCACATTCAATGGTATTTAAAAAATCATCTATAAATGTGAACATCTTTCACAAATAAAGGATATTAGAGTCATGGCCTGTCAGTTAGAGCACAAGCTTTAAGACATGGTGCCCATATTAGCAACGTCAATAATCGATTTGTCCCATTGCTTATTCCTATTTCCTCTTTTCCCATTATATCTTGTCCTCTACTATTGTAATATAAAATTAACTGGCAAAAAAGCCAAAAAATAAATGTAAAAATAAGCAATTATTACATTCACCCAAAGCTGAATAAAAAAAAAAAAATAAATAATTTGTTTATAATCGCTGCACAGGAGGCTATCAGCCAAAATGAGTTGAAAAATATTGGCATATCGGATGTCGGCAAAAATCCAATATCGTGCATCCCTGCTTTTTTCACTCAAAAACTGAGGCGTATAAGCTCAGATCAATGAGACCTATAATCAACTAGTTCCAAAAAGAAATACAAAACATGTGCTAATTGAAAGAAAACAAGCTGACAAATAGATTGCATCCAAGATTTGGAAAAAACAGATAGCATGATTATACAAGCAATTTTTAAAAGCCCGCTCATTTTTGACCAAGAAATCCAAATTAGGTAAAGAAGTTTCAGCACAGCACAAGGGATGAATATTTGTGACTGAAAATTGTGTCCACCATGGCATATCTGAAATATACAAGTCGAAGGTATTGTATGCTGCATAGTATCTCTCTCTCTTTTTTTTTGTAACCTTGAATAGCCCTCCGACGTATCACATTTTATCTGGCACTGATTTCAGCTCATGGGGCCTCTGCTAATGAGCTGATAATGTTGAATCAGGTGTGTTAGATATGGGAGCTGGAAAACTGCAGGACCAGGACTGAGAAACACTGATCTAATACACTCACTGCTCAGCCAAAGCCTGGCCTCTGATTACTCCTGAAAATGTATGATGTTCTTATGTTCTGCTCTTTATTACCAAAAAATAAAAATAAAAATACCAAGACAATACAAATAGGATACAATTACATGACTAGGTCACTTAGTCATCAGTCAGAAATGTCTTGGTCTTCCACTGAACATTCTGTCCCTCTCTCTTTTGAAATCATTGCTGCACCCCACGGCTGCATAATAGATCTGTCAGTTTTCTTAATCTGCTAGAAGACACTGAGACATAAGAGAGACTGAATAATGATGCCCATTGTTTGTATTTTTAACTGTTGATTAGAGCGCCAATTCTTCTCAGAAATGAATTCATTGTTTTGGAATTTCATTCTTGCATATGCTTTGTTTCTGAAACCAAGGACACTAGTTATGAGATTTTAAAATGAAATTAGCAATCAGAATGACACGATACAATCAAAGCAGGTTTGGTTTCATTTAAATTGACACATTGTACTTAGTCATAAAGGTCAAAATAAAGCTAAAAAATATTGATGATTTAATTCAAGGCCAGATTCACTTTGAGGTCTCGGACAGTCCTGACTCCAGACCCGGTTTTTCCTCAGACTCAAATGAAACATTAGCTAATAGTGCACTGATATGATGCTACAATACATATAAACACTGACAGCATTTCTTTTTGTCATGGTTTGACGACTTTTTAAAATGTTTAAGTGAAACAAAATGTTATACATTCAATATTATTAAGAGTTTATGTTCATGGATATTTTAAGCTACATGTGCATGTGAGATGGCAACTTTTCACACAAATTCTCTCTCTCACACACACACACACACACACACACACACACACACACACACACACACACAGATCAATTTGACACAATCAACAATATATAAAAACTCACTCACAGTCCCACTTTTAAATGCACATAAATGCAAGTACAGGACAGAGAAATGTCCTTGTTAACATAGACACACATGACATACATAGACACTCAGTGATGTTCAGTTCGTGGTGTTCGAAATAAAGTTCAGTTTACCCTTGAAAACCTCGCCATGCCATAAAGCCAACAGAGAGAGCATGAAACAGCATGCAAAACAGCAAGCCTGCTTCTCAGCTGCTTCCTATTGTCTGTCTTGGTCTGTGCTGGGGGGAAAAAGAGGAGGTGTGGGGTTTTGGAGTGGTGGAGGGGGTGTGTATGGACCGAAGGCTTGTTTTGGGAGAAATCTGGAACCAATATGCTTCAGACAATCTCAAGAAAACTCTACAGCAGAGTCTTTGCCGCTACCTTGGATTGCGCCCCCTCCCTCTGGCTCTATCCTCCAATCGCGACGTACATCGCCTTCCTGTTTCCTTTGAGCCGGCTCCACCCCTCAACCTATCCACCTCTTAACCAATCGCTGATCAAAGTAGGTAGGGCTTTGGAAGACTTAGCCACTGGCCTTTATAAAAGACCAGACAACCAGATAGTGATTTTGAGGTTTCAAGAACTGACCCACAGCTACATGACGTACTGAGGAGACTGAGGAGATTTTTTACGAACCCAGATGAACGGCCGTGTAATCCGGCACCTTCTTGAGGTCGGAAAAAGCACCTTTTTGCTTTGATTTGTTTTGCTTTCCATTAAAATCATTCTCAGTCCAAGGCAAAGAACCGTGCCACAAACAAAGCGAAATAGGATAAAAGCACGGGACTGACAAGGACGACTGACCGTCATGCGAGAGGAACAGTCTTGTGGCGACTTTCCTGAGGGTGGGGTCCTACCCAGTGAAGAGGAGCAAGAACGTCGCCCTAACAAGTGCCCCGTCGTTGTTGCACCACCGGCGGCTGCTCGAAAGCGGCTGACAGGTCCCAAGAAAGAGCCTGGTGGACCCCTAACACAGGACAACAAAACGTCACTGAAGGGCCCCTCAACGCTCACTCCCTCTTGCCCCAAGCGGCCCAAGAGGAGTTCTCCTCCTTCCTCATCAACCTCTTCGACCTCCCTAGTGCCCATTGTGAGCTCGGTGTCACCTGTGCCCGGGCAACCGTTCGAGGACCTCCACACGCAACGGGGGATCGCGAACGTCCGGGAACGGCAGCGCACGCAGTCCCTAAACGACGCTTTCGCCTCGCTGCGGAAGATCATCCCCACGTTGCCTTCAGACAAACTGAGCAAGATTCAGATCCTCAAACTGGCTTCGAGATACATCGACTTTCTCTACCAGGTTCTCCAGAGCGATGAGATGGATGCCAAGCTGGCCAGCTGTAACTACCTGGCCCACGAAAGACTGAGCTACGCCTTCTCCGTATGGAGGATGGAGGGCGCTTGGTCCATGTCCGCCACTCACTAGACGTTCACCCGTTCCTGATCCTACCTGCCGACCCTACGAAACTCCGACCAGCCTCTGAACTGTGAACCTACATTGTGCCTGAGAGAAAGTGACTCTGACTATTAAATCTATCGCTGTCTGTCTACTAGCTACAGCTTCAGCTTCACCAGCAACCGCCATTTGACTCCTGCTGCCATGACCTGACCCTGCCTAAAGCTGACCTCTGACCTTCCAACACCGATCTTTTCACTTTTTCTCTGAGCAAACCTCTACAGGTATGTCAGACCTCGAGTCAGCAGAATGAAGTGTTATAAATGAAATGAGCACATGGATTTGCTTTAGCCTGAGTTGTTGATCTGCAAGCTCATGCTTCTCTACCACAAATGAGAAAATGACTTGCTCATTGATTATGGACTTGGACTTGTTGGGTTTATTACATACATCATAACGATCAGTGTAGAGTGCACATATATTAGTATATATATTTATACTGTACTGTATGCTGTATTAAATGGTGATGATCGGGGGAGCTCTGCGCCCAGTTACAACAAACATCCCAAATTTTAATAATATACTAACTTTAATTGTAATAAATGATAATTGTGAGGGTATTGTCACTAAAGGCTTTCTTCAGGGTTTGTTGTAACTGCCTCCTGGCAAGTACTGTGGCTTGGGTAGCGCTGGAACAGAATCTATTTTTGTTGCTAGACCTTTAACCAGCTGGAGTAGCTCTCGCCTGCTGAACTGATGCTAT